CCTGAATGCCATCCAAGTTTATTTATTCTGTTATGCAAGGGATTTGGTTTATTCTGTCTCATGGCATTTAACATGTAGCACTAATATAAGAGACTCTTTGTTTTTTTTCCAAAATATATTTATAAATCTAATAAAGGATCAAGTACTTATTTCAACAGATATATATATATTACGTGTAAAAACAAAAAATGCAATATGTCTAAAAATCCTGCATCAGTTTTTTCTAGTTTTGTAAATCATCCTACACTTGACATTTAATCTTCTTGTCAGGCAATGTGCTTTCATATGATTATTATTGGAATAAGATTTTTTTTCCCCCTCTTTGTCAGGGCAGTCACAGGATCTAATTTGCTGTGGCATCTAATTTTGCTTTCATGCAACTGTCAAGACATTATATTGAAAGTGGTATTTGCTTGTAAGAAAATGGCTTTGATCAAAAACGCTCTTCCCGATTACTGTTCTAACACCCTGCTTATCAACTGTATATGAAATGCCAGCTCAGACAAGTTGTTCAAGCTTTTTTTTTTTTCCTTCCAAATGTAGACTTTATGCAGCAAGCTGTGATTGGCTATGCATCAGATTAGTCTTATCTTGGTTGGTTTTTTTGTTTGTTTTTGTTTTATTTGCATTTCAGAATTGTTAGTGTGAGATAAGATGCCATCGCTTACAGGGAACATGCCAACATATGCCAGGAAGGATGACTGTATTGAGCTGATTATTTATTGGATAAATAAACAATATTTTTTGGATGCCATTCCACATCCCTTCTACAGTGTCCTTTGACATACTATTTTAAGTTTCAGTCTTTTACAGGTGCTGGTCATAAAATTAGAATATCATGAAAAAGTAGATTGATTTCAGTAATTCCATTTAAAAAGTGAAACTTGTATATTATATTCATACATTACATACAAACTCATATATTTCAGATGTTTATTTTGTTTAATTTTGATGATTACAAATGACAACAAATGAAAATCTCAAATTCATCATATCAGAAAATTAGAATATTACTGAAGACCAATAAAAACAAAGGATTTATAGAAATGTTGGCCAACTGAAAAGTATGAACATGAAAAGTATGAGCATGTACAGCACTCAGTATTTAGTTGGGCCTCCTTTGGCCTGTATTACTGCAGCAATGCGGCGTGGCATGGAGTCGATCAGTCTGTGGCACTGCTCAGGTGTTATGATAGCCCAGGTTGCTCTAATAGTGGCTTTTAGCTCTTCTGAATTGTTGGGTCTGGTGTATTGCATCTTCTTCTTCACAATACCCCATAGATTTTCTATGGGGTTAAGGTCAGGAGAGTTTGCTGGCCAATTAAGAACAGGGATACCATGGTCCTTCAACCAGGTACTGGTAGCTTTGGCACTGTGTGCAGGTGCCAAGTCCTGTTGGAAAATGAAATCTGCATCTCCAAAAAGTTGGTCAGCTGCAGGAAGCATGAAGTGCTCTAAAACTTCCTGGTATGTGGCTGCGTTGACCCTGGACCTCAGAAAACACAATGGACCAACACCAGCAGATGACATGGCACCCCAAACCATCACTGACTGTGGAAACTTTACACTGGACTTCAAGCAACGTGGATGAAGTGCCTCTCTTCTTTTCCTCCAGACTCTGGGACCTTGATTTCCAAAGGAAATGCAAAATTTACTTTCATCAGAGAACATGACTTTGGACCACTCACCAGCAGTCCAGTCCTGTTTCTCTTTAGACGCTTCTGACGCTGTCTGTGGTTCAAGAGTGGCTTGACACAAGGAATGCGACAGCAGAAACCCATGTCTTTCATACGTCTGTGTGTGGTGGTTCTTGAAGCACTCACTCCAGCTGCAGTCCACTCTTTGTGAATCTCCCCCACATTTTTGAAGGGGTTTTGTTTCACAATCCTCTCCAGGGTGCGGTTATCTCTCTTGCTTGTACACTTTTTTCGACCACATCTTTTCCTTCCCTTCGCCTCTCTATTAATGTGCTTGGACACTGAGCTCTGTGAACAGCCAGCCTCTTTAGCGATGACCTTTTGTGTCTTGCCCTCCTTGTGCAAGGTGTCGATGGTCGTCTTTTGGACAACTGTCAAGTCAGCAGTCTTCCCCATGATTGTGTAGCCTATAGAACTAGACTGAAAGACCATTTAAAGGCTTTTGCAGGTGGTTTGAGTTAATTAGCTGATTAGAGTGTGGCACCAGGGGCCATCAATTTTGAACCTTTTCACAATATTCTAATTTTCTGATATGATGAATTTGAGATTTTCATTTGTTGTCATTTGTAATCATCAAAATTAAACAAAATAAACATCTGAAATATATGAGTTTGTATGTAATGTATGAATATAATATACAAGTTTCACTTTTTAAATGGAATTACTGAAATCAATCTACTTTTTCATGATATTCTAATTTTATGACCAGCACCTGTATATCAAGTGCAGTATAGGTGTCCTAACATATGGCAATAATGCTTTTGTTGGCTGGAATCATTTTCCAGAGATTACATGTATGCAGCAGATCATAGCTGATTATGGATAATAGAAGTGTGTAGATAGACTCCTTAAGGCTGACCTAACCTTAATATCTGGAAACACATTTATGGAGATTTCCTTTACTGTGTTCAGAATACGGGATGCTCATCCACCCTTTACACACTGTATTTCTTCTAAAAATGTACATCACACTTAGATGCAGTTTCACATTTTCATGTGTTATTAAAAAAAAAAAAGAACAATTCCTCTGAAGTGTTAATCTAACACGGTAGCAAGTTAACACCATGCAAATTAGGTGCAATGTTTGCAGCTCATTTTAAGTTGAGTAGCAGGAGCGTACTGAGTATTTCATTCGTAGTGAGCAGTTTATTGGTGTAGCCGCAAGTTGAGTGTAAAAAAAGAGCAATCACCAGTGTGAATCACCGGGGTAAAAGGAGTCTTTTACTTCCACACATGAGGATTACCCCCCTATAAAAACTGAAAATCACACTAACTAATAGTAACCTTTATTAGCTTGATGGAGAGAGGACAGCATAATGGTAGATTTCTATGTGATTAGATCTCTCTTCTAGATACACTTCCAAGGAGCGCAATTGTTTTGCTGAGGACGCAACGCAATGTTAGATATTTCATTTTAGTAAAATTTTGGCTCCTTATGCAAATTAACACAGGTAATAGTGAACTGTTTTGCTGACATGAGTTCTTGTAATTTCTTTGATGAATGAAAACTGGATGATGGTGGAGAGTTGGAACACATTGTTTATCTGAGTGGATACAAGCCACTCAGCAATAGGTACACATATATATATGTTTTAATCCGAGGTATAATTAATATAATATAACTGTTACTGTTCTGTGGGAATTAGCTTATTTCTACTTACATGCATGGATGTGCACATTAGCTGGTACTGTCTCTTCCCAAATTAACTTTACCACAAACTGAAGGACCAAAGTGAGAAAGTCATTGTCTTACTCCTGTTAAATATAATGTGACCAAATTTGAGTTTGAAAAAATTGTATCTTTCTAAAATATTTCTTTCTAATTAGAAAGAAATGTCTATCTAAAATTTAAACATATAAAAAATTTAAAATAAAACTGTTCTTTATGTTGAATTATGTGGGAAAACATGATTCATTCATTTTTTGGGGGTAGTTAATTGGTGTAGTTATTGGTAGAGCTGTACAATTTAGAAATTAGTCAGATACAATTTCACAAACATAAGTTCACATCTCAGATTATTATAAATATTTATATCAAATACTTTCATGGGACAACACTGGAAATGTGACAATTTGATTAATTGATAATTAGTTTGTGTACAGCTTTTATAAAAATTAAAATTTTAAGTTCCCTTAACATAACACACATCCGTTATTGACAAAATAGGGTCAACCCTAAAATAATACTTATTCAGTATTGTATATATTCAATGGGACCAGCATTATTATTCAGGCATTTCCCTAACTCCCTTTTGGTGTTCATCACAGCATGAAAAGTTACCCCTGGAATCATCTTCCTCAGTGATAACCTTCCTGAATGGTGGATTTTAGAGACCTTGCACTCCTCCACCCTCCATTTGAGGACCCTTAGCAGAAGCTGAATACATTTAAGAACTGAAGACATGCTTGGCCTGTAAGACACATTTATCCTCACTTTATTTAGCTGGTGTTGACTGTGCAGTATTAATTAAAATTATAATTTTAAGAACTGAATTTCAAATTTATCTTTGTCCGATTAAGATTTGTTTAGGGCTCTGAAACATTTTTTTGTGATAAAACATAAAAATAAATGTTTTTCACTATACAGTATGTGGAAAAAGATTTCATTCCAGTACTTGCCTGTATGGTCTAGATCTGTTTTCTGATAAAAAGCTAAATCAGCCCTCCCACCTGGTTAAATTAGCTGTAAATATGATCAACTGTTGTGTTCCTTTGAATGTTGAAGTGAAGCCACAAGAGAACTGTTGTACCAAAATCACTCACAGGTTCAAACACTCAAGACTGTGCAGTTATGGGCTGATGCCCAGAGGAACGAGAAAACATCTCTACATCTTTTATGCCAGTTACCATCAGTCCTTGCAAGAATACACACTGGGAATGCACAAGCATAGACATGCATGTGATTTCAGCTATCATGTTGTCCTCTTCTTCCCATTCCCATCTTTGTTTCTCTGTGGGAGTGATTTGTCAGTAAGGTGGGGGAGTTAACACTTCGATGAGCAAGCAACAACAGATTACCTAAAAATATATCTTGCGGTTCACACTGTCTCAGCCTTTAGTTGATCACACCCGGCGTGAGCTTGCTTGACTGGAGATTGAGCAACTTGCAATGCGTCTCTTGATGACAACTTGAAACCCACAATGACATAAGGAGTGGATGATAAAAAGCCAGGGTGCATCCATCTGCTGTTATTTTTTTTCTTTCATTCTTACTGGAAAAGACAATAGTCCCATTGTTACTTTACAGTACAACGCTTGCAAAGTGTGCCCTGAATAACTTTCTGTATATCTTTGTTTTGACAGATTTTGGAGAAAAACATCTGGGATCAGATAAAAAAGATATTTTGGCTTTGTGGGAGGAGAGGCGCAGTGGAGGGAACCGTGCCATAGAGGAAGCAACCAATTTAGGCACTTGCCAAGGAAAGACTTAGCACTGAACTCATCTGGGACTCTGACTAGCGGGTGGTGAGAGAAGGAGGCCATGTGGACCGCACGCCTGCTAGTCCTCGCCAGCCTTTTCGCACCAGCCGCGCTGGGTGAGTCTGCCTTCTTTAATCCAGTATTTGTCTCTTTGAGCGTCTGGGGGTATAAAAACTAGCCTTGCTTTGTTTTTGATATCCCAATGTTTGAAGTCATATCAGAATAATATTTCCACTATGGAAGTGCCAAATTCTGTCAGTCATCTGCATTAATAGATTTTGCCTTTGTCTTGTTTTTACGTCCATCTGTAGCTAATTAGCCGTTTTCTTTCCTCCCTTCCTAAATTTTTCACATTTTTTTTGTAATTTCTTCAATTTCCAGATTTTTTTTTTTGGCTTACTTTTGAATTTTTTTTTTACCTTTTTACATTCACAACAAGGTTTTGACTGGTTTACATTTACAGAGCAGATATTTAAAAGAGATTCAGAGTAAGAGAGAAAAACTCATGCATTAATTAAGGGGCTTTTTGAATTTAACTTTTATTTTATTTATATTATTGGGACAGTTGTAAAATGGAGGAAAAACAAAGCACAGTTTTGAAACATTTTATAAATAAAAATCAGAAAAGTTATGACTTCTATTTTCTTCAAACCTTCTAAGCCGGTGCGCCTACATAAATTCATGCTAACTCCTCTGATTAATAAATTCAGTTCCCACATGTGAAGTTGAGTCACAGTATGAATCCAGTTATGGTCATGTGAATTACGTTTGCTAAACAGTATTAGGAAACAAAATAGGGCTGAAACAATAAATCAGATTAATTGTGATTAATCAATTAGAGACTGTAATATATGTGTCAGCTTGGGTTGAAGGTTTTTTAGGGGCCCAAATGCAGAGATTAGGTGGCAGGGATGGGTTTGCAGATTTAATAAGTCTCCACAGAAGACTGAGGCAAAAATCCATAACAAAAAAATCCAAAAATGTCAGGTTGAAAACACATAAGAAGCCAGGAATAGAAAAGGAACCAACAAAACAATATCAGGAAACCAGCACCGTAAAGGTTCTGCTGCTCTTTTAAAGCCCAGCACTCTGTTGAGACTGATGAGCTCCACCTGAGTACACTACCTAGGTTCTCTGCAGAGATCCTCTCTTGGAGAGATGCATCACTCAGACACACACACAGGAACCCTGACTATACAGGTGCTGGTCATAAAATTAGAATATCATGAAAAAGTAGATTGATTTCAGTAATTCCATTTAAAAAGTGAAACTTGTATATTATATTCATACATTACATACAAACTCATATATTTCAGATGTTTATTTTGTTTAATTTTGATGATTACAAATGACAACAAATGAAAATCTCAAATTCATCATATCAGAAAATTAGAATATTGTGAAAAGGTTCAAAATTGATGGCCCCTGGTGCCACACTCTAATCAGCTAATTAACTCAAACCACCTGCAAAAGCCTTTAAATGGTCTTTCAGTCTAGTTCTATAGGCTACACAATCATGGGGAAGACTGCTGACTTGACAGTTGTCCAAAAGACGACCATCGACACCTTGCACAAGGAGGGCAAGACACAAAAGGTCATCGCTAAAGAGGCTGGCTGTTCACAGAGCTCAGTGTCCAAGCACATTAATAGAGAGGCGAAGGGAAGGAAAAGATGTGGTCGAAAAAAGTGTACAAGCAAGAGAGATAACCGCACCCTGGAGAGGATTGTGAAACAAAACCCATTCAAAAATGTGGGGGAGATTCACAAAGAGTGGACTGCAGCTGGAGTGAGTGCTTCAAGAACCACCACACACAGACGTATGAAAGACATGGGTTTCTGCTGTCGCATTCCTTGTGTCAAGCCACTCTTGAACCACAGACAGCGTCAGAAGCGTCTTGCCTGGGCTAAAGAGAAACAGGACTGGACTGCTGGTGAGTGATCCAAAGTCATGTTCTCTGATGAAAGTAAATTTTGCATTTCCTTTGGAAATCAAGGTCCCAGAGTCTGGAGGAAAAGAAGAGAGGCACTTCATCCACGTTGCTTGAAGTCCAGTGTAAAGTTTCCACAGTCAGTGATGGTTTGGGGTGCCATGTCATCTGCTGGTGTTGGTCCATTGTGTTTTCTGAGGTCCAGGGTCAACGCAGCCACATACCAGGAAGTTTTAGAGCACTTCATGCTTCCTGCAGCTGACCAACTTTTTGGAGATGCAGATTTCATTTTCCAACAGGACTTGGCACCTGCACACAGTGCCAAAGCTACCAGTACCTGGTTGAAGGACCATGGTATCCCTGTTCTTAATTGGCCAGCAAACTCTCCTGACCTTAACCCCATAGAAAATCTATGGGGTATTGTGAAGAAGAAGATGCAATACACCAGACCCAACAATTCAGAAGAGCTAAAAGCCACTATTAGAGCAACCTGGGCTATCATAACACCTGAGCAGTGCCACAGACTGATCGACTCCATGCCACGCCGCAATGCTGCAGTAATACAGGCCAAAGGAGGCCCAACTAAATACTGAGTGCTGTACATGCTCGTACTTTTCATGTTCATACTTTTCAGTTGGCCAACATTTCTATAAATCCTTTGTTTTTATTGGTCTTCAGTAATATTCTAATTTTCTGATATGATGAATTTGAGATTTTCATTTGTTGTCATTTGTAATCATCAAAATTAAACAAAATAAACATCTGAAATATATGAGTTTGTATGTAATGTATGAATATAATATACAAGTTTCACTTTTTAAATGGAATTACTGAAATCAATCTACTTTTTCATGATATTCTAATTTTATGACCAGCACCTGTATGCCTTTAGGTGACAGATCAACCAACCCTTTAGCAGCAATTATACCTAAAAAAGCTTTTTAATCTTTCAATATGCTCTATCCAGAACTCCACAAGTGGAACAGTTTTTGTTTCACATGGTTTAATTTAATAAAAATCCTCTTTAAGGAACCTTTTGCTATCTGATTATTAATCGAAAAAATAATATATAAAAATAATAGACAGATTAATCGATTTGCAAAACAGTCATTAGGTGCAGCCCTAGCACAAAACATCATGGATTTTAAGAACTAAATGAGTCAAAGGGTTTTGAGATGCTTATGAGGTCACTATGTAGATAGATGTAAGGACTATTGGGGTGAGGCGTTGGGCAATCACCTGTAAAAGTGGTGATTCACAACAACCAAAAGAGTTATTGGGAAATATCGCGCTAATTTTATTATTTTACCTCTTAAAGGTGTTGACTACTGGGTTCACTATCCACTGATGATGACAGTAAGACTCTCTGGAATACCTTGTTTTTCTTTACTGCCAAATAAAAAAGAGGTCAAGTCAGCACTTTGTCATGCAACTTGTAAAATATTAATGCAGAGTAAGATTAGGTTTTGTTAGATTTTAATACCAGTTGGGTGGATAAGGTACGTAGACACACATAAAATGAGAACTAATTTGTGGGAAGAAATTACTGCGAATACCAAAGCAGTGCTGTAATCAAGTGAGATCTGTTGATGATGGGAGCTATGGAGAAACACTGGGGATTTAGAAAAAAAAATCAAGGCTAAGCAGCTTCCTCATTTAACCCTGACTCCCAACATTTTTTTTTTTTGCAGATTAGCTACTGATTAACAGCTGAATATGCCTTCTGTCACAGTGGTAATATCTGTAAAATCCCGATTGCCACTGAAAGCAGGAACTCTGACGCACCATAAATGAGAAATTGGAGGAAGATTTTGATAAACTGAAGCAAAAATTTTCTTTATAAAATAGGTTGTTGAAAACATGACTTATTAGTTCAATATTGAAGATTTGTAAAGATCTCTCAGGTTTACAAAAATTAGAGATTTGCTTTCATATCAAGAATTTAGATTTTTTTTGTCATTATGTCACCATAGTAAAATATTTCTTAGACATCAGCTCAAAGGAAGAATCGGTTCATATAGAAACAAGAAAAAAAATGTATACAAAATCTTGCATATAGTATTTATATAAAGTGCAACTACCGCTAAAATTATCTGTGAAATGGGCTGCTGGATGATTTTCTGTGGGCTTATTTATTGTCTGTTTGCAGGAGGAATGATTGCCTTCACAGCTTTAGGAAATAAAAAACTGCTTCTGACTCTATTAATTTTTAATGTAATGTCCATGCATTGTTTTCCTGATAGAAGTGGGACAAAGGGTGCATTGTCTAGGTTGGATGTGTAGCAATGTGTTTTTTATGTATTCAGACTCGCAAGAAATGCTCATATGAGCAACTTTATTTAACACAGACACAATTAAACTACTCTCCATGGTACAAGTTTATTAATAGAATAATTTTGATTGATCTCATTGACTATTTCTTTCCACAACATGATGGGATAAGTTATATATATATAGAATATGCTGATTTAAAAAAGGAATGTACATCATTACGATTTAACAATTTTACACACTAGCTGTATTACACATTATTTAACATGTTTAGAAGATATGCACAACATGAACCTATTAGGTTACTGAATTTAAAAAAAGATGAACAGAGATGTAAAACTTTCATTAAAAGACATAGCACCAATGCTCCTACATGCTGTCAGACTATTTGCCTGACAGAACTTATCTTGTAAATATAGGTAAGGCTCCACCTAAGAATGAACAAAGGTTAAGAATAATCAATTAACTGGTTATAATACATTTAAATCTAATTAACCAAGCTTTAGAAATTCACTTTGAGTTGGTTATTGTTTTACATTCGAAATATTTTATGGCTGAAGATTCAGTACCATAAGACCCCATTATATCACATGCAGGAATGCATAATCCTCTGCAGACTCGTTGCTTACTTTTCTCTTCTTTGTGTATTGACCTGCTTCTGCTTGCTTGTGCTAACTTTTGTCACTTTCAGGGTGGCACCCACCATTGATTGGCTACTTTTTCTGGTGAAGCTTCTCAGTCATCCAGGTCATAGTCATTCCAAAAAAAAACAAAAAAAAAAAACAATCCACTTGACTTTGGCTACGTTCACACTGCAGCCTGAAGTGACCCAATTCCGATTTTTTTGCCCATATGTGACCTGTATCAGATATTTTTATGACAGTCTGAACGACACAGATCGGATTTTTTCAAATGCG